GTGATTCTCACTTTAACAGCGACTATGTGAGTGAAGAGGTGTGTTTTCTTCGCGGTACGGACTGGACTATTAAATATTACTCAGACCAGGTTCTGACTCAGAATGGAATCTGTAACCGCAATACATCGACGTTGAAAGTCGGAATTGCAGTCCCAGTCATCAACCCTCGCCATTCCCGTCGCTTTGAGGAGTCTCCGTACACACAATTCGACAGTTTTACGTCACAAAGCGGTAACTGCACTTGACAGGAGCAGCGTGCCTGTTCCTTGCACTCAGCAAACGTAAACGACGTTCTCATCAAAAGCATCTCAGACTTCAAATTGAAAAGGAATGATCCCTTGCGATCTTCGTAGAATATTACTTCTGAGAGCCAAATGGACATTTATTAGATTACAGAATGAAACCTAGACTCGCAGATTGGAGCAGATGGAAAGAAGCCAGATGGAGTGTCCTGTGGGATACAGAAGATGTCACCAGCTTCTGGCACTCACAATTAAGGCACCTCGTTCAGTTAGTTACCAACAAACGCCCCACCTCTCGTGGAACCCGATGTTTCATCACGGTGTCCAGAACGCTGCCCGGGTTACCTGCTCTATCGAAATTTGTGACTTAGCTACTACATTCGCGTTCAGAACTTTATACCTAGCTCAGGGCTATCGGAGGACTGAACAAGATCCAACAGCATTTCCGGAAATGATTCTAAAGGAAAATTTGCCACAAACCGGACCAGTTCCAATTAAAATAAAGTTCGCTGCCTCGATCCTCGGAACAGCGAACGAACCAACGACCCCATAAATCCCACAAAATACTAGGTGGGGGGGGGGAAGATGACAGTGACAGTGGCAGGCCCGAGGTACTGAAGAAAATCGCGAGGAATCTGAGTTGGGGCTCGCGACATATGGCACATGACGTCACTCGACGCTCGCCCGCCTGACAGGAAATATCGCGACACATTCACTTGATGAATGTTTATGTCAATTCCGGAGTACTGTCGGTTTATAAAGCAATGTCCGAACACACGAGATCAAGTTACTCCTACAGCTGCCATTTGATGAAATTTGACTGATTAAATTTGTACACTATGCAGCAAAAACTTGGTTCCGCTAGACATCGACTGACAAAAGCGGAGAACTTTCAAGAATGAGCCGAGTTTAACGAAGTGTCGCTTATGAAAGCTTCACATCACACATCTTTATTTGTGGTTCGTGCGACAACGCTGTTAGTAGCTCAACCGGTGCAGCGTCGAATGATGAGCGACTGAATAATGAGTAGGAAAGGATGAGGAAGGAAGCGTGCACGGCCCAATTTAAGGTACTATCTCGGCACTTGCCAGAGGGACTGAGGAAAACTACGAACAGCCTCATTCAGGATATCCGGCCTCCGGGCAGAAATTTCAAGGCGGCAACTTCCGACACGAAGTATTGCCAATTACTCAGTCTTGACTCTCGGTAAGTTAGTTTATAAACCGCGACTACTTATTCAAATGAACAGAATGTAAAGCGTTTATCTTGAACGAACAAGCATTCCAGGACTACGCTATTGTATAAATGTCGTTCGAAATGAGGCCACGCAAATTCCTTGGCACTGCCGGCGAGCTTTCGGAAATACATTTCGCCTTTCTCTGCGGGGTTCGCGAACTACACCCCGCGAACATAGCTCTGATGCCTTTCATTGCAGATGAGGGCAGCTACATGTTCGCATTTCACGATTCCAATTTACCAAATCCCATAAATAAGGCTTTCGTCCAGACCTCAGCACGACCAACCAAAATCTATTACGTGATTGTTTCTTTGCTGTTTCATTTTCATTCAATCCACTTTGTGCTTAGAGGATTGCATCTTTCTTTTCCTTTTATGCCTCGTTCTACCGGAGGCGTTGGCCACGTTCGTTAAGCAAATCACGCCATCCGGGCAGAGAGCAACGCATTCATTCGTTGGTTAGGTTAGCTGCCCAATTTCCTCAATGGATCCTACCCCGTAAAACTAACGTGTAGCGCTCACTATACCCCCTGCAATAAAACAAACTATTCACCATTAGCCGGCTTTTATTTGAATCTACACAAAGGCGGGTGGTTCGTTCGTGCAAGTTGATTCATGCATCCAACATACAGAGCATCTATCGGGACAAGTTCTGCTTGCTTCAGTATCGAAAAAAAAAGAAGGAAAAATCTAAGTATGGGCTTATTTCGGAACCAACGGATCATCATCGCCATAACAAAAGCTTAAAATCACATTTCATCATGAGCGAATTTACGACTTTAAGATCCAAGTCGTCTTCCTACTGTTCAACAACCAAAGATGTATGGACCACATGACTCATGACGCAATCATTAGTCGATATTATCATCGACTTAATCGCGTAGAGCAGTGACTAACAAGCTCCATGTCATGAATCTTCCCCCATTCCTCAGTAACAGCATTTGTTTTCCTTCGTACTTCGTCTCAGCTGTCCTGAATCCACGTAATATGGTGGCAGTTGTACGACGCGGCAACCAGAAGACAGCTTTACGCAGATACGCGGAGTCACATAATTTCGTGTAAGTTACCCTCCCCGTATTTATTGCTGGTACGTAAACCACAATCGGTAAGCCGTAACGTAAGCAAAACTTTCAATTGTCTCCTTCATATTCCTCACGTACTTCCTGCGTGCAACACCGACAAGACTTGATTAAAACAACCAACTCTTCGCGTGACGTCATGCACGCTTCGCATGGGGATGTCGCAGTACGTCTTCTTACGCTCCGTATCATACGACAGGCCTACACAGAACAGGGCAGAAACAAACGGAGCTTGCAAAAAGTCGCGTTTCGAATTAATTCTCAAAACACTTCTAAGATGAACGAACCGGAAGGCTGATTTCAGAACAACGCGCTATTTACTTATTCATGTCAACATCGCAATAGTGGTAAAAGAAACAAGCACATAAAAGAATCCGTACAAAAGAAACCAATTTTATTTCAATGGTCCCGATCAACAGGGAAACCCGAAGCAGCTTCACTAATTAATTATTCAGTTATCCAAATTGCTGTTATTTTTCATTTCAACACATTTCCCACATCAGCAAAATTACAGATAAAAAACACTCAACATCTTTGGTCATCGTCAACTTGGAACAATCCAACACAAACACAATCTCCGTGCACTTTCTGCAACCACAGGTGTTTCGAGTTTCGTTTCCTTTTGAGAAAGTGGCCGAGCCTACTCATAAAATGCTAGCCGACCCCCGGATCACTGACGCCTACGAGACCTGGTTTGCTTCAATGCTGCGAGAGGGCGTCATGTGGTGACGCACTGACTTCTGCATTCCTCCACGCGCCATGTTGTCCCTTGACGCAGTCAGAATACTTCACGACACAGAGGCCTGACAAACCTCTGTCAACGTATCTCTCGGACGTCGAGGAAACAGTAGCCGTCCTCCGGGAGGACGTGGATGAAGCAGCGGTGCTCCACTCTCGAACGCAACCCAACCTAACCTATTCTGTAACAGGTCCCGAAACTACGCGGACTTGAGTAACACGCGTGTGTACGAGGTACGCCCATAACATGCCTCACACGGATGACAGAACTGTTCCAGAGTCTGGACTTCACGACAAGCGGAGGGCCCACCGGCTCCCTCTAATTCTCGCCGCCGCCCCCCGCCCCGCGTTCAACTGCAAAATATGGTTACCGTCAATCCACACGTTTGCCCTTTGCGGTGACGTAACCACAGAGACACAAAGTTTTAATTTTATAAAATGTGTGGGGCCGTTATGAAAAGTTGAAGTCACGCGCCATTCCATTCCATTCCATCCCGTATCACCTTCCACGGAAGGAAATCAAAATTTCAAGCGAGCCCACGGTGGAGCGAGTGCCGGGGCGAATTTCCATATTTTTCTTGAGATTGCATGGAAATACAGGTGCACCGCAACGACCCTCCTGGGAGCAATAAACACAGACGCAAGATTAAGGCTATTAGGAGAAGTGCAACTTTTTTCCGCGGATAAAAAAGAGAGAGGGAGGGAGGGAGAACAGTTGCACTGCAGACTTCATTACACTAGAAACCATCAGATGCGGTGGGCTACGGGCTGCCAGAAATCAGAGTTCATACCCTCACATAACACAGAATAGGATCTTCTGCGCTAGGACGAGAGATTCGGGTACTTTTCTAGTACTGCCTGGTTCTTAAGCTACATAACGATGCCTTTTTATCTACACGAGGGCATCATCACGAACGGAGAAAAGCAGCAACGCATTACCCCGCCAACAGCCGGCAGGAAGAAGCTTTATAAAACACAACACCCGACTGTACAGCGGGTACACATCCGAGATTCGAAGCGGATATCGCCCGAACAAACATTTTTAGGCAGTGCGTTAGACCTACAATAACAGACAGCAAAGCTCTTCTTAATAACCATGTGCAGGTGCCCTATGTGCGTAATGCGGGCCCCACATAACCTCAAAATTTTCAAGGTCATCTCCATTTTGTCCTTGGCTCCGACAGTGCACATTTTGGTACTTTCCGTCCAGTAATTGACTTCTGGAGATGCTTCAGAATTTCTGCTCGTCGCCCAATATTACGTCCTACCAAGGCCGTAAAAACGTATTGTCAGGTGGGTAAGAAAGATGAGATTACTCTGTGCCGTTACTTAGAAATAAAATGAGAGACAGTGGATTCATCTGGAACAACGTAGGGTTACCATGAAAATGAACCTAACATTTCCATACCACAGTGGTGAGCGGTCGCTGAATTCATAAGAAGAATTCTGCCCCGTTAAGTCCGTTATTATACAAATTTAAACAGCATAAAGTTCTTACTTCAATATAAATTAAATTTTGACTTAATGCAAATTCAAACTTTTTACCATAAAAAAACACGACCGAAACAAACACGAGATGTTTCCGGCTTGCATCAGACAGGAGGAGCACAGACGGACCATTCCACTGTTTGTTCCTTCATCTACTGGAGCAGAAAGAGAGCAAACTTATTTATTTAACATGCTTCGACATGCAGTGGCTACTTACAGTCGACGTGTCCGGCGAGACGACCAGGCGTACCTCAGCAACGTGGCACCTTCCGCGGACACTCACCTGGAACAAGAAATTACCACATGAGTCCCGTCGGTTATATACTTTTTTTATATTTACGTCGCTAAGAAGAGACGCACGTCGTCACGAGGCACATGGTGTCCGTCCGTCCGTCCGTCCATGTGTTCCGTCTCCAAAAATTGTGGACGGATTTCGATCAAAACTGCTGCTGCGGGGGCCGTGTCTGTTTGCAGCGCAAATTCAATCTGGATTCGCACTGGATATTAAGGCTCTACGCTGCACGGCGTCGAAACATAACGCCAAAAACGCACAGCCAATTAAGGTCTGCCTGCGAAATTTCATTCGAAAGTGTTAATAGCTTTGTAATAACATAATTCGTACGAAGATGGCTATCTTCTGACACGAACCGACCGACGTTTCAGAGGTGGTTCCTGCCCCCAATTCCCTGATTACGGAAACAATAAGCATCTCTGAAACGTCGGCCGGTTCCTACCAGACTACGCGGGGCAACAACCCAGATAAAAACCACCTTCGGACTCGTCGCCTTGAGAATATCTTTCCAACCGGAGTTGCGGACTGGGCCCGGAAACATATTTCGAACAGAGGCAACATAATACATAAAAAACTCATTCGAAAAACAAATGCCGCCCCTCTCGTTCCGAGTGCTGTAGGTAAAGAACGGTCTATGTGATTTCCACACACACACACATCCGTGCGAGTACCGCCCGCAACTGGTACCAGTTACCAAGGTAACGAACAAAGATCACGTCACCGAAGACACTGGAGCGCCACTGTTTTGGTATCATCACGTCAATATCAAGACGCCGCGACCTTCGTGTTAGCAGACATTCTTCGGCGGAGGAATCTCTGCGTGTGCATGCGTGGAATTACGTCAGTGCACGCATGTGTTAATACACGCAGCTTAAGAATCTGTGCCTCCGCGTGTTCGTTAAGTACTGACATGCATGTGCACGTACGCGTGTGTGAATGAAGGTATTTATGAACCGTGGTTTGCCACATGCGACATCTGACGTCGGAGGGCAGCGTGGGTCCATCCGCACCGAATGCCAACGGCGTCGGTCGGAAGAGACTCCGACTGCACGACGCTGGAGGGGAAATGCCAAGCGTACAAATGTCACCGCTGGTCGGACTTTAATTTTAAACACACTGTGGCGATGAACACAACTCAAGCATCAGCGATGGACCACGCGGAAGCAGGGTGGAACGTGATTATACGAAAAACCAAACACTAATTACACTTTCTGGGACTGGAAATCCGTTTTTACCCTTTGTGAACCACAAGCGAAATGACATGTCATTCCACCGCAGAGGGCGGAGTCGACTTCTTGAACAAGCGAGTACACCACCGCCGTGATATCAAAACTTGGCGTTCTGCGTGTGTCATTCCAACCCCCAACCCCCACCCCCGTTCATCCGTTCTCTCCGTTTTTGCGACCCTGCCCCGTGTAATTAGTCGCAGAGCACTTACATGAGAACTGGCCTGTGGCGTGTAGTGCCACGTTACAATCACGAAACATAAACAATAACGAACGAAATCAACAATCTTTCACCCAATGCGATCGTCCGCTACCTAACGAGAAAGTTAGTCTTTCACATTAAGGGAAAACATTTATCGAGGGTCCTTGAAAACAGAACGCTGAGGACGGTGATCGAACCCAAGAGGGACCACGAAAATGAAGTAGGCTCGTCAACAGTACCTTCGTAATTATCACTCTTCAATTAATTGGATGACGAAGTCAGGGATAATTAGACGGACGGGATGTGATTCGATGCGAAAATTCGGTTGCAAACCCCAAACAAAATAGTCCACTTCAGATACATATGTGTTGATAGGAGGATAATATTAAAATGTGTCTTACAGAAGTAGGATGTAAGTACATGTGCACCGGATGCATCTACTTCAGGACAGATTCCAGTGGCGTTCGCTTACAGACACTGAATTAAACGTCGAGATTCCATAAAACTGGAGACATTTCTTGATCAGCTGAGCGAATGTCACTTCGCCAAGGAGTATTCTGTCCCATGGAGCACTAACACTTTCAGGACGCGTAGTGCGCGCTCACAAAATGTTTAAATTCAATCACGAGTCTCTGGGTCGTAATAAAACTGCGAACATGTGCTCACGCGGGTTAACGAACTGTGTACAGTCGAGAACAAAATTCCGAGGTGCGTGGGAGTGGCACCCCAGGACTCGTGACGTGACGTGAAAATCCACAGCGGACAGAAACCGTACAAAGGTATTAAAACAGCCACGTGTTCGATTTGAATGGCCGCCCTTTTTTTCTGAATACGGGCCGAATGCATTTGTGCCGCTCCGTAACCCCGGTCCTTAAAAAGAGGCCCGCATCTTCAATAGACACAAAAGGGGTCAGTTCTCGTTTTCGATATGTGTGAAGGGTCAAATCTAACAAACAAAATGACGCCCTATATTAGGGATGGGCAACTGATTCTCCTCGGAACGTGGACTGCATGTCGGAGTGCCGCGTATAATACTCAGTACGCGTTTCTCATCCTTCCCATGCGTGCTACATGACTGTCCACATCGTCTCCTCGATCTGATAGATCCAACTGTATTTCGAGAACCCAACTAAAATGCAAACTCCCCCCCCCCCCCA